CCCAAAACCCCAAAACCCCAAAACCCCAAAACCCCAAAACCCCAAAACCCCGAAAGGTTATATTGCCAAAGTAAAGTGCGATGCAAAAGGATTAAAATTTGCATAATTAATTACAATCTTATTATATATAGTGCTGAAGTATACTTTTCATTATTCTGCAACTATGACATTTGTAGGATCCTGCATAATGTTTCTCTCCTCCCCTTACTCTCTAGCTCCATTTTTCTTTTCATTCTCCTGATGTTTCTTAAGATTGTTGATATGAAGTTAGAACATCATTTGCTTGAACTCATCGAAATTGATCATTCCATCATCATTTTTGTCAAAGTCACAGATAAGTTTCTCCCATTCTTCATCCTTAAGCTCTGAGTCTTTATTTCCAAGGATGTGCTTAAGTTCCCTGGGAGTAATTTCACCGTTCATGTCAAGATCGAAGAGGTCAAAGGCTTACTTAAGGTTCTTCTCCGTCAGGAGGTTATGTAGGTTAGAAGCAGCTGAAACGAATTCAGAATATTCTATTTATCCATTTTGATTGAAATCTACGTTTTTAATAATCTTTTGTAACTCATCTTCAAAGACGATCTGTTCTCCCATAAATTCACGAAATCCTTCCCTTAGCTCATCTACGGTGAGAATTCCATCATTGTTCTTGTCAAACTACTTAAAAGTTGCCAAGAGTTTTTACTCATTTTACTTAGACATCATACTATTCGTAATATAAGCTATTACAGCTTATTCAAGTTTTCTTTCGCATGTGAAATTTTTAAGTTGATTCAATGCGTTTACACATATTGGCTTTTATATCCTGGATCTTTCAGTATACTGTTTAATCCATGGATCATTTAAAGCATCTGCAGCTGATATTCTATTGGATGCATGCTTTTAAAGGAGTTTCTTAATGAAATCCTTAGCTAATTTACTAACAGAAGTCCACTCTTATGCTATAGGAAGAATTTATTCAAAGATATTAATTACAGCTAAATGAGAAAGAACCTTTTACGATCTTTTAATATATTTCATTCTAATTCCTGGCAGCAAAGGGTGGATAGCCACACAAGAGAATATATAAAATAACACCACAGCTCCATACATCACACTTTTCATTATATTATTTTTAAATGACTTCAGGTGCTACATAGTAGGGCTAAAATAATTAGGATAAATTTAAATTCTTACTGTTCCAATGCTAAGGGTCAGTTTTTAATCAAGATCAAATACAGTAGAAATGCCAAAGTCAATTATTTTAACAGCATATTGATCTTTATCATTGCCTGATATATCCACCAAAAGATTCTCTGGCTTAACATCTCTATGAACTACCTTCCTCTAATGGCAATGTGCAATCGCAGAAAGTAATTGCATCATTATCTAAGCTGCTTCATTTTCAGTGAAAGTTTTTTTCTGTCTAATCATTTCGAATAATTGTCCTCCTGAACAAAATTCTGTAATGATAAAGAAGTTCTCATCATCCTCAAAGAATTCGAATAGCTTCACAATGTTAGGATGGTCCACAAGCTTCATAATAGCGATCTCGTTTTTTATCATTTTTAACTCGGCATTTGATTTGTATCTAGATTTTTTAATAATCTTGAGTGCTCTTATAACGTCTAGTTCCTTGTGCCTTACTTTTTTAACTTCACCAAAGCCACCTTGTCCGATGAATTCAAGAATCTCATAGTTGATTTCTATTGGATTTCTTCGTTCAGAAACTAGCATCCTCGGATTGATTACAATGTTAAGCCTGGATTTTTCAACTTACTCCATATATTAGGATAGAAGTTTTTATTCCATGATTCCCACCATCATATTCTTTTTTTCCTCTTGAAATTAATTATGGCCCTCTTTTCTTTAATCTACTCTATGACTACACTCTACAATGTCAACCACATTTGGGTTAAACTGTTATAGTAATTGTTTTCTAGGTATTCTAGGCTGTTAATTCTAATCATCGACTTCACTTCTCTAACTGTTTTTCTGATTATCAATCTAACTTTTTGAATTAATTTTCTACTCTCTACTGGACAATTTTTCAATTAATCCCTCTTATCTTTTGCCGCTACCTTGATTTTTGTCCAGGACAACTACCGATCCTTTGTACTTTTGTCTTTGAGATGAAGTTAAATCTATATTTAACAATTAGTTTAAGAACTATGCACTAACCCTCTGTATTTAAAATTCCGTTTGCATCTCCTCCATTCTAAATTTTATTCCTCTCACGAGGTCTTTTGCCAGAATCTGCGAAGTCTCCTTAATTAACATTATCAGGTATCTCAGTATTCTTTTCGCAACAATTAGTCGTATTTCCCATTCAAGCAGTCTTGTAGTACTAGTTAAATTATAAGAAGATCCTTTTTTATCAATAAATCATTATTTCTCAATTAATTCTCCTAATTAAAGAGTTTGATTTATATCAATTCTAAATTAATTCTATTATCTGATCACTTTATGGTTGAATTCAAGTGCTGGGGTTTTGGGGTTTTATCTGGGATTATCTTGGATGCTAAGCA